AACTTCAGTTCAAACCAAAACTCTATGTCTATCTATGGATAACTTTATTACTAATATTTGTAATCTTCATGGGAATGCAATAAAAGAACATCGGGAAAAAGTACAACAAGAAAGTAAGTATATTTGAACATTTATTAACTTATATTTATTGTTATAAGCATTTTTAGAATCGACAGTTAATGTCCCACGAGTACCACAAACTGCTTGGAGAGGTCGTAGAAGAAGAGGTTTAACTCAACGTTGAAATATATAACCTGCACATGTTCAATGAGAAATAGTGCAAAGAATTCATGAAGTTATGTTTTGATAAATACCTGAATTTTTGACTAATGTAATACATTTTAAAATTTCCAAAAGAAAAATTACTATTTACTCTTTCATATTTTTAGAAAAATGAACAAAATATAATTAAATAATTATAATTATTCTTGTGAATTTTGTAAATAATTTTAGTTTGTTTTTGTACAACTTAGTTTAATAAACTCATACTACATTTGTAATATTTAAACTAAGATTAAATTAAGATAATTTAACTTATTGTTAAAAATACAATATTTTCTATACATTATCTCACCTATTATATTTTAAATTTTAATTAAAAGATATTTAACACCAAGCAAAATGATAGGTACTTTTTTAACAACTATGAGCACTGTCGTAACACAGTAAAGAGGAATGATAAAAGGTAAATGAGTGAATGTGGAAACTATGTGTGTACGAAGATGAATATGAGGAGGTGGTGCCTGCTGTCTAGGTATTCACGTGCGTGTTGTCGTACAGCAGTCACCGTGCTCGGCTGACACTCCGGGTTAGCTGTGGGTGTCGAAAGGCTGTTGTTATAGGAAGGGAGAATAAGAGTAACACCTTGGTATGAGGTGCAGACGCAGTGCAAGACACAAATACCAGGTGTATGCAAAAGGAGCCCAAAGTATGAGGTGCAGACGAAGTGCAAGACACAAGTACTTCAAAGAGAGAACGGGGTAGCCGAGTATAAGGTGCAGACGAAGTGCAAGACACAAATACTGGGCGTACCAGGTAAGGAGTATAACAAAGTACGAGGTGCAGACGAAGTGCAAGACACAAGTACTTCAAAGAGAGAACGGAGTAGCCGAGTATAAGGTGCAGAAGAAGTGCAAGACACAAATACTGGGCGTACCAGGTAAGGAGTATAACAAAGTACGAGGTGCAGACGAAGTGCAAGACACAAGTACTTCAAAGAGAGAACGGAGTAGCCGAGTATAAGGCTACAATATTTCCCAATCAATACGCTTTCTGATTGCTGGAATGTCTTGTNTGACATGGCGTGTTTAATTATTCCTACGTCAAGTAATTTATCTAATTCTTTTTTCAAAATGTCTCTTTGAGCAGGGGATACTCTATGTGGAGCATTAAATTTTGGTTCTTTTACGTTTTCCTTTAGTTTTATTTCACATGGCGGTACTTTTGCTGGCTCTAATCTAGATGCGTTCGTAGAAAATACGTGTAAGTATTTTTTCACTAGGTCAACTACTTTAGCGTGTTGTTCTTGGGATAAATGTGATGATATCTTAATAGGCGTGTTGTCATTGTCGGTTAATTGCTCTTTAATTGTTTCGTTATGCATAGCTGTGTGAACAGTTGACAATGATGTTGCTTTGTCCTGTATCATCGTTTCTGTATTTGGGTGGCCGTGGCTCGTGGTGTTAGCTACTCCGATTTCATTGATAATTGCATTATCGTTTTTTATGCACTGTTTACTATGCTCCACGTAGAGCTGTACTGACTGAATAATTTTTTTAATGGTAGAAATTCGTTTATCTCTACTATATGCTGCGGTATGTATTTTGATGTTTTTGTAGTCGGCTTGCCGGGCCGCCAATGAGTACCATTATTTACATGATATAGTACCGCAAAATTTCGATCACCCGTTCCGTACATTACTCCGTATTTATGTTTTTCAGAATAAATGTACGTGTCCATTGAATAGTGATTTAATATGCTGGCAATTTCTTCATCTGAAAACCAATAGCCTGGGACGTCTTTTATTTTTAATAACACCAATAAATCACAAAGTGTGATTTTCTTTTGTTTAGATGAGCTAATTGCATTGCAAATTGCATGCAATGCGCAATTGTTGTCTTCCGCAACATTTTCGCCCATTTGATATTTTTCGAAGACCTCCCGTAGTTTTGCTAAACGTGTGTTGTCAGCAAATTTATTCTGTGCGGCTATTTGTGTTGAGAGAGTAGAAATAACGTTCTTACTGTTTACGTTATTTGTATTGTTTTTTTTTATTGCGACTTGGTCGGCGTTGTATATTTTCGTAGTTATAATATTTTTTATAATCATCAAATTTGAATTAAAGTTAATATGAGCCTTATTATTGAATAGAAATCTGTTTCCCAATATGAGCGAACTTATTAAGTTATTTACAACATAGACGTCTACATCAAACTGCTCGTTCTCAATGACGATTTGAATAATAGTTTTTCCTATTAAATCCAAGGGCTTGTTATCTGCTCCGGTTATTAGCATATTTTCAACCTTTTTTATGTTGTATTCTTTAGCTAATTCCGCGTTTAATATATTTAGATTTGCCCCGGTATCTATAGTGACTGTTATTTCTGCTTGGTTTAATGTGGCTATGATGTACAGTGCTTTTGCGCTAGAATATTGACTTGTCGATTGTACGTACTCAATTTTATTGCTTTTATTAACTTTATTTATAATATTTTTTGACTAAAGAGATTCTATTTTTGATTTTGCTAAGGTTAAAGGTGAACGTATGTCCTTAGCGTGAGCGTTTAACCTAAAAGCTAGTTTTTTGAGTTGCAATTTTTTGCTGTGTGATATTGGCTCTGGCATAATTGGCACTTTGTGTCATCTGCTTCCTTTTTTCTGGATCTGCAGACACTTGCTTCGTGGCCGTATTTTTCACAAATTTGGCATTGAAATAATAATTTTTTGTTACGGAAACAATTCTCAGAAAAGTGGTTAGTCCTGTGGCAATTATCACATTTTCTGTTTTTGCCGGACGTGTTACCATTAAATTTTTTTACTGTATTAGTCCGTGATTTCTGAAAATCTAAAAGCGCTTTGACTTGCCTTTTTAATTGCTCTAGCTCATTTTCTTGTTTTTTATTTGACATGTGTTGGATTTGTTCCTTTAGAATGTCTGTTTAAAACCTTATTTTATACTCTAGATCTTCCCACTTGATTTGGCCGACGGTGTTTTCTTCTAGATTTTCATAGAAGTGTATGGCTGTACCTTCTAAGAAAGCTGGTAAAAACTGAACTTTTTCTTCGTCGTTCCTTTTCATTTATGATGCTGGCCCTCTTGTATCGCTTAAGAAACAGGTCTACACTTTCGTGAACTTCGCCTCTAAACTGACCTGGCTTAAAGAATGGCTTTCTACGGTTCTTGATGTCATTGTTAGCCATGTTTTCGGTATGTGGTACTGTAAAAGATTCGTTAAGATCTACAACGAAATCTTCCGGAAGCCACTGACCTTTTATGTACTTAACCAAGCGGTCTCTCTTTTGATCTAAAGTGCCGGCAGTGGTTAGTTTTCTCTTGATTAGCTCAGATATGGCTTCGTTAGAATTTAGCTTGTGTGCCCAACCTGTTTTGTAAGATGGACGTTCGTTTTCTTCTGACGGTGTTGTATTAGGCTCTATGAGTGATTTTGTGTATTCTTCTTTGGCCATCAAGTGTCGGATAAGTTGGTTTAATAATAATTTTTTCTTATACTATAACAACAACCCTAACGTAATATATACGTTACCTTTGTTGGGCGCCACTCTGTCGTAACACAGTAAAGAGAAAAATGAGGAGAATAGTGTGAACTGAGAGTGAATATGAGGAGGTGGTGCCTGCTGTATAGGTATTCACGTGCGTGTTGTCGTACAGCAGTCACCGTGCTCGGCTGACACTCCGGGTTAGCTGTGGGTGTCGAAAGGCTGTTGGAAGGGAGAATAAGAGTAACACCTAGGTATGAGGTGCAGACGAAGTGCAAGACACAAATACCAGGTGTACGCAAAAGGAGCCCAAAGTATGAGGTGCAGACGAAGTGCAAGACACAAATACTAGGCGTACCAGGTGAGGAAAGATAACAGAGTATATAGGTTAGAAAAGGAATGAACAAAGACTTTACTTTAAACAGTAAGCCGGACAGCGACAACCGAGTACTGAGACTGGTGAATGACACAAGGCACTGGAGTCGACTGACCACGATGGTCAGGTCTATTGGGTTTTTATAATAATTGCTGTCTGTATTTTATTAAAATAATTCTCACGATTATGAAAACGTGACACCATCACACAGTGATAACGCCAGAAATTTTTAGGGCATGCGTCGGCATTTAAAGGAGGTGTACGCACTTTTCCAGTCCCCAGAACATCAGCGATCCGTTTTCTCTCATCTGGCGGACAAAGGAATTGAGTGGCGATTTATACCACCCCGTGCACCGCATTTGGGAGGCTGCGGTCAAAAGCATGAAAAGTTTGTTATATTGCGTTTCGGGAGAGGCTCGGCTCATGTACGAAGAATTATTAACTGTACTAACGAGGGTGGAAGCTGTACTTAACTCGCGACCAATAACTCCAGTATCTTCTGATCCGGTTGATCTAACCTACCTCACGCCAGGTCATTTTTTAATTGGCGATATAATGACTGCCATACACCGGAAAAGGATGATACGACCACGCCTATTACTTTCTTTAATAGGTGTAGAATAGTTTCCCATTACACCCAAGTACTTTGGAAACGGTGGCACCAAGAGTACTTATCTCAACTACAGGAAAGAACCTTTGTAAAGCGCACCGCTCGCGTACATATAATATACGCATATCTATTTTTTTGTCTTTTACGTTTTTATTTAATTTTATCGAAGATCTTTTAGTAGTAAGAGATCACGCCAAACACTCTTCAATATAAACAGAATAAATGTAAATTTATTATCGCTAATCACAATACTACATAAATTACTATACCGCTATTACTACACAATTAGATATTTAAATGGTTTATATGCAACCTGGTTAGTTCATTTATTTCGTCTTCACAAAAGGAAAAGAAACGTTCTCTACGACATGGACCAGCGGATGGACATCCAAAAATTTCTCCTTGTTACCGAATTGGCGAACAGGGATCTCAGCTGTGGGCTCTCAAGTTGAGGCACTACACTGTCCGTCATAGGATCGTTTTAGCGTAACACAGACTCACCGTACACAACGACGCGCCACAATTTCGATCGCGTTAGCCGGTGGTACGCAAATATATCAGATACATCTGATCGGCGGCCGAACGTTATTGTTTTATATTCTTTCAATACATTTATACAGTCATACAGTCCACTCCCTACTTCTTTCTCCTGCATGATATAGATACTCCAGAAACGAACAGTAACTAACCCGCACATCATTACAACGGGCATTCCGTACAGTTTATATTTTATGTTATTAATTGTAGTTTTCACTAACAACACGGTATTTAACATTTTTTTATCGATTATAATCAAAACATAAATTATTAAGTTTTCTTTCGTCAATCTGTTGTTTGGAATAATAATAATTAGAAGATAACTTTGAACTATAGTTGTTAATACACATAAGTATTTCGTTATGATATTTATATTTATAAAAGTAAATATTTTTAATTTACGAGTGGGAATAATTTTTTGGTAAACTGCTTTTGAAGTTATATTTTTTTTACGCGACATGTCGTGCCCAGCGTAGCCGAGTACTCCTACTGGAATCAGTGGCCTACCTGTAAGGACAGCCCGAGGGACCTAAAGCGCCGTAGTAGCGTAAGCACAGTAGGGCACCGGGTTTGAGGTGGGACCTTAGCTAGGCAAAGCCTAGTTTAAGACATATTGATCTTATTTTTAATATTATGTTTTTAGAGAATTCATTACATTATACATTTTTAAATGTAATTTGTAACTCTTAAATTAAAAATTAATAATTGAAAATGATAAAAAAACATTAGCTTGGATGCGTAGCTGAGAGGCTATTAATTTTACTCCGCTATGTATTTTTATTATGTTCGTGTATAAGATTACGACAGTTCTATTTGACCGATACTGTTCACCGTCAAAAGATCACAAATATAATAATTCAAAATTGTTATAATTGAAATAACAAAAATTAATCAAATAAAAATGAAAATCGGATTGGGTTGTATATAGTGAAAACCCGATGTTGTGGTTCTATTGGGGTCATATGGTTCGAGGGTTTAAAACGACAAAGACAAGCAGATATAAAAATAATAATCGCAGTACCTCTAATTGAGATGTAATAAATTTGTGTCTCGTTAGTTTATAATGTCCTACCTAAGAGGCAACGAAACGGCGGAGCCAGTTCACGAATACCAACTAACGTGATTATGTACAACATTTTAACAAACCATTCAAAATTAACACTAAGATATTAATTTAATAAATGATCTATTGTTTTACTTAACTTTTATTTGTTTAGTCTTTAGTTATTTGGTTTATGTATAAATATTATAAACCAAGTATACCATATTTAAATAGACAACAATTTGTAGATCTGTGGTTTAGTGTTTTATGAAAGCTTAGTATGCGACTTAAATGGTTGTTGAGATTTTTTTATAATATGTGTTAAGAAAGATGTTTTCTTTCGTTTGTCAAAAAAATAAAACTTCATTTTTAACAGGAACGTTTGAATTTTTGCAAAAAATTAGTATACCAAAAATATTAAAAAGTTATTGAAAAATGACTTTCTGTTGTTACAATTACTATAATATTTAAAATATACATAATATGATTAAATTTTAATCGGATTATTATTTGCAAATTATACATAACGCATATACTTCAAGAATAAAATACCTGCTTTACATTTATGTATCTTACATATATATATTCTTCACTACGACACATATAAATATATAATATTACATAATGAAGACAATTAAAATTATTCATCTTTCCTCTGATGTGGGGCAAGTTGGCATACTTTATTTTAATATAGTTTATGCTGAAAAATAAATTATAAAGAGTGATTTTTTTATCATAACCAACTCAATTAATTATTGAATAAATATAATTTTTTTTGAATTTCTTTAGTTACACATTGTTCTTGAATTATTAACTATGTAATACTTTTTTAGTTCATCCCTTATGCCTTATATGGGGGCATCAACTTTGTTTTTTTAGTAGAAACACATATTTTGAATTTAATGACATTGATATTCGCAGGTACACAACATTTATTATCAGTGGTAATAAGGTTCATTATTGTGAGTTTATGAATACACTAACTGAAAATACAAAAAGTATAGCTATATGATCATAATTGACAATAAATACTCCGTGACTGTAACAGTAACGTCATAAAAACTAATTAACTACTTGTGTTTGAAATTTCTTGTACATGTATATTAACTCAAAAATTTTAAACTTTAAATGTTTAAATTTAATAGAATAATTAAGTTATATTAAAAATTCAAATGCCATTTACTCTATCATTTTATTAAATTCAAAATATGTTTCCATTTATATAGAGAAAACAAAATTTTTCCATTGGTGTGTGGCGAGTTATTTTAAATAAAGATATTTTGGATGTTTATTTTTAATTATTGTTATAATTGTTAAAATATTGTAATCGAAAATTATATAAAAGGTGAAGAAATCGACTTCATGANTGAAAAATTGTATAAAAGGTGAAGAAATCGACTTCATGACCCCCAAGTAATGTTAAAAAAATTTCTACATTCACAAGTGGCCACACTTATAGCCATTTTTAAACACTTTTCTAACGAAAAATGTAGATACTTCCATGATAATTTTAAGAAAACTACAACTATTCCACAATTGAAAGTAATAAAATGTTGTTATTTATATTAGTGATAAACACTAAATTATAGGTAAATACCTATTATATGTATTAAAAAAAATATCTGTTAATCCATACATTTTTAAAAAGTTATTTATAAAAGTNACATATCTGTTAATCCATACATTTTTAAAAAGTTATTTATAAAAGTTATTATTTGTATTATAACAAGTTAAAAATATATATAAGAGATTTCTTACAAAAATCGTATATTTTAGCTTCGACGCGAAGCTGAGAAGGAATTAATTTTACTATTATGTGTTTTTTGTATTAATTACCACTTTTTCTCAGCTTTCATCGAACCGATTTTTTTCATCAATACGTCAAAAGATTACAAATCAAATCAAATCGGAGACATTATCCACAAAAATTGAAAAAATTTCATTCGTTCTCCGTAAATGGGGAAAATCTCTAAAAAAAATTAAAAATCGCTAATTTTTGACATTTTTTGGCCATTTTGATGAAGTATTCATACCGTCTTGGTAAATAACTGTGATAAATCTACGTATTTAATTTCCATTAAAAATTAATTGATTTCANTGTGATTAATCTACGTATTGTTCCATTAAAAATTAATTGATTTCATAGTATAAAAAAAAAAAAATAGTAATTAGCATTAAAAAAATTGACATTATTTACAATTACTATGAAACAATAATAGTTTACTTTCTACACAAATTTCAGTCTTAAAATTCATTTCTTAGTTATTTTGCTTTAGTACAATTTAAAGAGTCAATTATAGTGATTTTATTTCTATAAAATATATCATGACACCAAAAAAAGGCGTATTTAGAAGAGTTATAAAATTTGTTAGGAAGTTATGTACAAGAAAGATCGAAAAAGATGTTGTAGCCAATTTCAAGACGCCTGATGACAATATTG